GCTCATCCCTGATTTGCAGTCTTGAACCCCAGTAGGGAGCCTGTAGGAGGCAGCTGATCGATGTTGATGTATCTCTCTCATCAGTATATCTATCTCCCTCTTCTTCTCCTCCTCTCTCTCTACAACAAGTAAAATAAAATAAAACATATGATTTTTGAAAGTGTCCTTATTCTTAAGAGATATATGCTGAAGTATTTAGGGTGAAATGTCATGCTCTCTACAATTATTTCAAATGGTTCCACACACAAAGCACATAATACATACACATATACAAATACCTCCAACCAACTCAAACATTTAAAAAATGATCACTAGAGTGTAGAGTGGGCTTCTGGTCAAGATGGGAGTGTAGGTTAATGGGGTACTCATGTCCTCTCACAAGCACATCCAGAATACAACTAAACTACAGAACCATTATTCAGAACCACCTAAAATCTAGCTGAACGAAGTCCTACACATAAGGAATTAAAAAAGAAGCCACGTTGACATTGGTAGGAGGAGCAGAGATTTGGGAAGAGCTGGTTCTAACTAGTGGATAAAAATTGCAAGGCTATCTCCACAGCAGAAGTCCCCTGAGGAACAAGGAGTTCCAGACCCACACCAGGCCCCTCAGCCCAGTGCCAGGAAGAGAAGTACCCATAACTTCTGGCTGTAAAAACCAGAGGGGATTGAGACTGAGTGAGACGGAGGCTGCTGGAGCCCAGGCATTCCTCTTAAAGGGCCCATGCATGGACTAACTTGGATTCACTCTCTGAGCTACAGCGCTGGGGCAGCAACTTGAAAGGCACCAGGGACATCCAGGGAGAAACTGAAGGGGCAGCGTTCTCCCAGACGAGGTGCTGATAGAAGCCATTGTTCCTTTTTGAGCCTTCCTCCCACACAGCCATCTGGCAGGTGCCATATTTGAGTCGCCATCAACCTAGCTAACACTGTTTCCCCCACCCTGGTGATTCCCTGAGACCCTGCCCCACCAATTTGTGAGCCCACCCAACTTGTTTCCAATGGCTTTTCCATACAAATGGCCTGTCTTGACTCTTGCTTCAGACTTTCCTAAAATCTCTCAATCAAGCAGCATCTAACCTCAGTGGCCCTGAGCAGAGTACAGGCATTGGCTGACCTTGGTCCGTACCCCCTTGGAGGACCCCCTGGAGTGCACTTGGTGGACAGCTTCAGACCATATCTAAGCACCACCCAACCACCTTCACAAGCCACACCTTTGAGGTGTGAACTCAGCAGGCACCAGAGCCCCACTGAAACATGTACAGGGATGGGCCTCTGTACAACTAATCCTCCACAGTGGTCGCAGCCAGTCCTTGCAACTGATGGGCTTTGATGAGGCTGCCAAAATAAGGAGACAAGGAAGTATATTCCAAATGAAAGAAAAGAACAAAAATTCAGAAAAAGTACTAAACAAAGTGGAGACAAGCAATTTACTAGATGCAAAGTTCAAAACACTGGTTATGCCTGGCTGGTGTGGCTCAGTGGTTGAGAATTGAGCTATTAACCAGGAGGTCACAGTTCCATTACTGGTCATGGTACATGCCCAGGTTGTGGGCTTGGTCCACAGTAGGAGAGCATGCAGAAGGCAGCCAATCACTGATTCTCTCTCATCATTGTTTCTATCTCTCCCTCTCTGAAATCAATACAAATACATTTTTAAAAATACCACACTGGTTATAAGGATGCTCAATGAACTTAGTGAGAACCTCAACAGCATAAAAAAGGATGTGAAAACCAAAAAGAAGAACCATCCGAAATGAAGGATACACTAACTGAAGTAAAGAATAATTTACAGGAACTAAATAGTAGAGTAGATAAAGCCAAGAATCAAATTAGCAATTTGGAGTTTAAGGAAGCAAAAAACAGCTAATCAGAATAGCAGGTTCAAAGAATCCAAAAAAATGAGGATAATGTAAGGAGCCTCTGGGACAACATTTGCATCATGGGGGTGACAGAAGGAGAAGAGAGAGAGCAAGAACTTGGAAACTATATATATATAATTAATTTCAGAAAGGAAGGGAGAGGAAGAGATAGAAACATCAATGATGAGAGAGAATCATTGATCAGCTGTCTCCTGAATACCCTATACTGGGGTTTGAGCCTTCAACCTGGGCATGTGCCCTGATGGGGAAGTCTAACCATGATTCATAGGTCAACACTCAACATTGAGCCACACCGGCCAGGCTGAAAACCCATTTGAAAAAATGACAGAGAACGTCCCTAACCTTGTGAAGAAAATAGACATAGAAGTCCATGAAATGCAGAGAATACCCAACAAGATGAACCCAAAGAGACCCACACCAAAACCCTTTATAATTAAAATGCCAAAAGTTAAAGACAAAGAGAGAATCTTAAAAGCAGCAAGAGAAAAGAAGTTAGTTACCTACAAGGGAGTACCCATATGACTGTCAGCTGATTTCTCAGCAGAAACTTTGCAGGTCAGAAGGGAGTAGCAAGAAATATTCAAAGTGATGAATAGTAAGGACCTACAACCAAGATTACTCTACTCAGCAAAGCTATTGTTTAGAATTGAAGGGCATATAAAGAACTTCCCAGATAAGCAAAAGCTAAAGGAGTTCATCACCACCAAACCAATATCACATGAAATGTTGAAGGGTCTTCTTGAAGAAGGAGAAAGAGGAGGAGGAGGAGGAGGAAGAGGAGGAGGAGGAGGCAACTTATCAAAATATGAACAATAAAATGGCAATAAATATATATCTATCAACAATTGAATCTAAAAAAACACACAAAATAAATGAGCAAGCAGAACAGAAACAGACTCAGATACAGAGAACATTTCGATGAGAGGGGAGTTTGGGGGTAGGAGTGAAAAGGTGAAAGGATTAAGAAGTACAAATTGGTAGTAACAGAACAGTCAGAGGGAACAAGTCTGCAACCTGTGCTTGTGCCCTGACTGGGAATCGAACCATGACCTCCTGGTTCATAGGTCGATGCTCAACCACTGAGCCACACCAGCCAGACTGAAAGGCTTTAATGTAGAAAATTAAAGGTTTATAAAACTGTTGGAAGTGCTGGAGGAGTGATATCTCAGTTTGTACTTGGAGTGATCCTCAAAAGGTCACCTATAAGTGGCTACAAATGAGAAGCTCACATAATTATCATAGCCATGTGTCCCCAACCTAATTGTAAAGAAGACTGTGATTAATATGGATTCAGTCTTTGTGTCCCGAGCAGAGAAGGGTGAAAGCTGTGGAGGGCATTCAGAGTGATATTGGAGCTGCGCAGCACAGCCTCCTATTGTTTCTACCCCCCCCCCACCCCCCAATTCTTCTCTTCTTCCTGAGAAAGACAGCTTTTTCAAGCTGGGAATATAGTCATCCGGCATAAAGACTACATGTTCCAGCCTCCTTTCCAGCTATGTGTAGCCATATGACTACGTTCTGGCCAATGGGATGTCAGTAAAGTGTTAAGAAAAATTTCTGTGATGTGCCTTTAAAGGGAGTGAACATGCCCTTCTTTTCCTTCTTCCTGCTGGCTAGGAGGTGGACTTGATGGAGGAGCTGCAGCAGCTGAACCTCAGACATGAGCCTCTGCAGGGTCTCAGCAGAGCTGCTGGGGAGGAGGGACAATAGTGCAACAAGACAAAAGGGGCCCTGGTTGGCCTGTTTCCATCAGAAATAAAATTCCATTGTGTTTAGGCTCTTCTCTCCCTCTCACCCCCACCCCCTTTTGTCATTGTACCTGAGCCTGATCCTATGTAATACAAACTAAATCTGGGGGGAAAAACGAAAGAAACGAATATAAGTTCATCAAGGAATAGAATATTTCACAGAGGAACAGCATCTACAAAGGCTCGGAGTTCTGAAAGAGGTGGTGTGCTCAGGAAATGCCAGGGGCTTTGTGTGGCAGGAGATGACATGGAGGTGGGTTGGATGAGCCACAGCAGAGGATGGACCGATCAGGCAGGACCGCGGCAGACAGAGCCGCTGGAGGCTGAGTGTGATTAAGGTGAGAGACAAGGGGAGTGTGATGCGATTGGTGGTGGAAATAGGGAGAGGGGATCCATTCAAGACACAGGAGCAAAACTCAGGAGTTTACATAGGTCGATTTTTTTAAAATATATTTTATTGATTTCAGAGAGGAAGGGAGAGGGAGAGATTGAAACATCAATGAGAGAGAATCATTGACTGGCTGCCTCCTGCACGCCTCCTACTGGGGATTGAGCCCGCAACCCAGGCATGTGCCCTTTATAGGAATCGAACCTGGGACCCTTCAGTCTGCAGGCTGACGCTCTATCCATTCAGCCAAACCAGCTAAGGCAAAACTCAGGAGTTTATAAGTGTGGGTGTAAGTACACGGAGTGGACAAGTCATCAGAGAAAGCCTGGGCTTCCTGGCTCCCCTCCTCAGAGGCCTGTGGGTGAAGGCCAGCCTCTCCCCCCAAGGAGAAGCCTACTCTTGCCCCAATTCTTTGGGCCCAGAGTCCCTGGTCCAGGTTCTGCCTCTCACCACCTCCTCTTCTCCCCCTTGACTTCCGGCTTGTTCCAGGATTATTTCATGAAGGGGAGGTGCGAGGGTCTTTGCCCTGTGAATGCTGACTCTCCCATCTGCCCAGGAGCCTGTAGGGGAGCTGCCAAGGCTGCTAGGGTCAGGTGGGCAGCTGGCCACTGCCCCTGGCTGGCTGGGCACAGTGCCTCCGGGCAGTTGAGTAAGAGTGGGCTCCAGCAGACAAACAGGCTTGTATCTATCGCTGGGCCAGCCAGTTGTGAGTGGGCAGGTTGGAGGTTAAAGGGTTTGGAGTGAACTGGGTGAGGAGTTGGGCCTAGTCCACTGGGACAGCCCCTGAGATGGGGGCACTCATTAACCCTGTGGGTGCCAGGTTAGCACTGGGCAGGAGGTGAGCACTGGGAGGCCGCTGAGGTCATCTTTCTTTGAACTTCCACGTGATATTTACTCGGAATTGCTGCCAGAGGCCCAGGCCCTGGAATATAAAGCCGAATGTCTGCTCTCTGTGCCCAGAACTGAGCAGGTGAGCTGCTGGGGCAGAGGGCGGAGGGCAAGGGGGACAGAGTCCCCTGGAGGACTGCAGGGTCTCAGCAGAGCTGGTGGGGAGGAGGGACCAGACCCACGTGGAGCACCACGTGGCAGAGCTGCTTCTTGCCCTGGGCATGCCTCTGCTCCCAGCCACCCACGGGGGCAGGAAGAGGTGGGTGAGGGCCCAGCAGCCCTCCCCTAGGAAGCTCTCCTGGGGCCTGGCTGGGGAGGAGGAAGGGAAGCCTTTACAAAACAGTTGGAGCTCCCCCTCCTTGAGCTCTTCCCCTCCCCTGGGAAAGACACCCTTCTCTTCCCAGCCACACTCACCTGCCTCCATCCTGTCACCAGGAGCCCCTACAGTCAGTCCTCAGGGCTCTGAGCTCCCTACGCCCCAGGGAAGTGTTCGCAGACTTGGGGCAGGCTGACCCTGGGACTGACACCTGGGAGATGTCCCTATCTTTGCTTTCTCACCTTACCAGGCGTCCCTGGCCTCCCTTCTCAGGACAGGCAATGGCCCGCATGACTGCAGCCCTGGCCTGGGCGCTGGCGCTCCTCTCAGGTGGGTCTCCGCCCTGGCAGGGGTGAGGAGGTGAGGTGGAGGCTGGCCGCAGGCCCGCACTCACCCCTGCCTTTCCACAGCGTTTCCCACCGCCACAGAGGCGCGGAAAGGCCTCAGGGCGGACTCCGGTCAGAGCAGCGGGGACAAGGGCAGGGTGGAGCAGACCCAGCAGCAGAAGCTGGCCCGGGAGTCCGCGTGAGTGCCCGGGCAAGGGGCGCGGGGAAGGGCGGAGACAGGCCGTGGGATGATGGCTGCCTCTGATTCCTCAACCAGCGGTCTGCTCGGCTGCGGAGCAGAGGAAGCAAGCTGCCAGCTCCTCCCACCCCCACCCCCAATCCTGGCCTTCCTGGCTGGGTGCGCCCTGGCCGGCGGCCCCCACCCCGCTCTGACCTGGCTATAGCTGTTGCCCCCTCGCCCGCTGCGGCGTGGGAGCTGGAAGGGAGAGGACCCCCTGCGTCCCCAGAGCCTCTGTGCCCCCTCGGGCGGTGCTGGTCTGCGGGTCTGCAGGGTCTGGATCTGCAAGGGCAGTGCCTGTGTGCGGAGGGGCGGCCCGAGGCGGGGATAGCGCCCTTGGTTTCCCCATTAGATCAGTGAGCGACGCCTCTGGGGCAAAACAGAGGTGACGTCTGACCTCTTCCCCCAGGAGCCTGAAAGGCAGCCTTGAGCAAGACCTCCACAACATGGACAAGCTCCTGGAGAAGCTGGGCCCTCTGAGTGGGCAGGGGAGCGCCCCTCCCGGGCTCCCACCCGACCCCGAGGGCCTGCGGCGGCAGCTGCAGGAGGAGCTGGAGGAGGTGAGCGCGCGCCTGGAGCCCTACATGGCGGAGGCGCACGCGCGCGTGGGCTGGAACCTGGAGGGGCTGCGGCGGCGCTTGGAGCCCTACACCAGCGCCCTGATGGAGCAGGTGGCCCTGCGCGTGCAGGAGCTGCAGGAGCAGCTGCGCGTGGTCGGCGAGGACACCAAGGCCCAGCTGCTGGGCGGCGTGGTCGAGGCGCGGGACCTGCTGAAGGAGCTGCAGAGCTGCCTGCTGCACCACACCGGCCGCGTCAAGCAGCTGTTCCACCCGTACGCCGAGCGCCTGGTGAGCGGCATCGGGCAGCACGTGCAGGAGCTACACCGCAGCGTGGCCCCGCACACCGTGGCCAGCCCCGCGCGCCTCAGCCGCTGCGTGCAGCTGCTCTCGCACAAGCTCACGCTCAAGGCCAAGGCCCTGCACGCGGGCATCCAACAGAACCTGGATCACCTGCGCGAAGAGCTCAGCGCCTATGCCCGAACGGGCGGGGAAGGGGCGCACCCGGACCCCCAGGCGCTGTCCCAGGAGGTGCGCCAGCGCCTGCAGGCTTTCCGCCACGACACTTTCCTGCAGATCGCCGCCTTCACCCGCGCCATCGACCAGGAGACGGAGGAGGTCCAGCAGCAGCTGGCGCCGCCCCCACCGAGCCACAGCGCCTTCGCCCCCGACTTCCTCCCCGCGGACAGCGGCAAGGCCCGGAGCAGGCTGCAGGCCCGTCTGGACGACCTGTGGGAAGACATAAACTACAGCCTTCGCGACCATGCTCCGGGCCATGGAGGGGAGCCCTGAGGGCCTTTGTCCGCGCCCACTTCCCAGCTCCTTGTTCGGGGAGCCCCAAGCATGGTTCAGTCCTCGACAGTGGCCTACTGGGCAGAGGGTGGAGGGCCCTGCAGGATGGGTGAGGCCACCGAAGGGGCAGTTGTCCCTTGCCTACCCAGCCTCCTGCGAGTCCCCAACCCGGATGCATTACACTCACCAGGATTTGCGAACCTGGCTTCCCGTGCTAATTTGGGAGTCCTCCCGAGTTGCCCCATTCGCTGCTGGCGGGAGTGGGAAGGGAGACAGGCGCTCTATGCGGGGGAATTAAGTGCCAGCCCGTGGCCATGGTGCTGGATGCCTGTCTCTTCAGACCCGGGTTTGGCTGCGACCACTCTGGCCCCCTGGTGGCCACTACTGCCGCTGTCCCGAGAGCAGCTCCTCTCCCCAGGGCTGCCAGGACAGCTTCTGTTGGGGGAGAGAAGGGAGAAAGGAGGCGGATGTGATGAGAGAGCATGTGACTGTGTGTGTGTGTGTGTGTGTGTGTGTGTGTGACTGTGTGTGTGTGTATCCCTGCGCGCTCTGTTGCTGGTGGGTACAAATGGTGGGAGTTGTAATGGGAGGGAGCAGGGCCCATATTTTCTTACATAGCTCTGCTTTTAAACAGCCGCCCACGCCTCCAAACTGTGGGGGCTTCCTAAACCCTCTGGGGAGTCTACGAGGTGCCCTCCCCATCTCTGATGCTCAGACTGAAGCCTAGACTTCTGACTCCATTGAAATAGATGTTTATAATGGAAACTGGTCTGCCTGGTGTGACTCTCATTCAGACCATGTCTGAAAGCAGTGCCCTCACCACTATCCCCAGAGCACACCCATCGGCCACTCCAGGCCCCTGCTGTACTTTCTCAGGGACCCCTTTTCAGTGCGAGTCTGCCAGAGGGGCCTGGGCCTGGCTGCTCCGCTTTCGGGGAGAGCTGTGTTGGCCTGGGGGTGGGCGTGGGCTAGCAGCGACCTTCCTCTGCACCTGCATCGTTCGTGGGCCGGCTTGGCACAGGACAGTGTGCCTCACCTGCTGGCTCCTGAGGTGGCCTCTCCCTTTTGTTCCTGCTGTTCCAGATTTTGAATGGCCCCTTTTTATGACACTGGCCCTCTTCTTGGGAACCCCAAACTCTTAAACCCCCCAGTCCCCACATGTAGATTCACTTGGAGGCAATGAAGCTCCTCATAGGTCCTCTGAGAACCCTGAAGCTGGGGGTAGGTGAAGTGGGGGTTAGTGGGCAGGGTAAGCACACCCCTTCCAGTGCCCTTTCAGTCCAGCTCAGTTGGCCCGGTACTTCCACACTCCTCCTAACACAGACCCCACATGAAGCTGGCTGCATCATACCGCAGCCTAGATCTCTATCCAGACATCTGGATTTAGCAACAGAACTGAGAGCGGTACCCAGAGAGAGGAGGTGCTGGAAAGGAAAGTTTACCCCCCTCCCTCCAAATAAAAGGTGTTTTTGTTGTTAGGAAACTGGGAAGGTTAGTCAGAGGGAGCAGATGTGGTAGGGATGAAGGGGTGGAAGTAAAACTGAGGGTTGTGTATTTGAGGCTGGAATTTGGGTAGGTGTTTATGAGGACAGAAATAGGGAGTGAGAAAAACAGAAAGGGAGAGAGGGACAGAGGGACTAGAGCCGCAGCATCACCTGGTCCAACAGTGGATCGAAGGAAGCCCAGGATGTCGGCAAGAGGCTGGTTCTTGTGGTCAAACACTATGGCCAATAGTTAGAACCCTGTGTGATGGAGACACTGTGAAGGAGCAAAGCCCTGCCCTGGCTCTGGGAGGACGTCCTGGTGAAGTGACACCTGAACTGAGGTAGAGGCAAAGCCTGAATCCGGCTATGGAAGTTTGGATCATATAATCCTGGCAACAGGGAAGCCCCGTACTGCTCTCTAAGGGCCCAGAGTTGCCTGGTCAGGGTGGCTCAGCTGCTTGGGCGTAGGCCGGTGAACTGAAAGGCTGCCTTTGCTGGCTGGATCCCTGGTGGGTGTGCAGGAGGCAGCCCATCAGTGTTCACTCTCACATCCTCACATTGATGTTTCTCTTCCCTCTCCCTTCTCGTGAAGGCCTGGGATGGGGGTGGGGTGGGGTTTGGCTGTAGGGGGTTAAAGGGGGGAAAAAGGTGACATATGTAATACTTTTCAACAATAAAGAATTACTTAAAATAAATAAATAATAAAAAACTAAAAAAACACACAACAACAACAAAAAACATCAGATAGCCGAAACCAGTTTGGCTCAGTGGATAGAGCGTCGGCCTGCGGACTGAAAGGTCCCAGGTTTGATTCCGGTCAAGGGCATGTACCTGGGTTGCGGGCACATCCCCAGTAGGAGATGTGCAGGAGGCAGCTGATTGATGTTTCTAACTCTCTATCTCTCTCCCTTCCTCTCTGTAAAAAATCAATAAAGTATATTTAAAAAAAAAAGAAAAAAACATCAGATAAACCCAAATTACCTGTACTCTTCAAAAATGCCAATGGCATAAGACACAAAGACAGACTGAGGGACTTCCAGGTTGAAGGAAACCAGAGACCTGAGAACTAGGGGCAATACCTGGTCCTTAATCAGATCCTGGATTAGAGAAAGAGTTGCCATGGAGAACATCAGAGGGACAAGATGTGGAATTTGAATACAGACTGTATCTATATATATAAAAGCCTAAGCGACCCTTATGATCAGATGACCAGATGACTGGCCGGTAGCTATGATGTGCACTGACCACCAGGGGGCAGACGATCAATGCAGGAGCTGCCCCCTGGTGGTCAGTGCACTTCCATAGCCAACTTCCCATGGTCCCTTCCCCTGCTGGCCTTCCCCGATAGGCCCCAATTGGCCCCGATCTCTAGCCAGGCAGAAGGACTGAACCTGTGCACAAATTCGTGCACTGGCCTCTAGTCCTATATAATAAAGTGGTAATATGCAAATTGACCATCACACCCTCACACAAGATGGCCGCCCCATGTGGTCACAAGATGGCCACCCCCATGTCATTACAAGATGGCCTGCAGGGGAGGGCAGTTGGGGGCAATTGGGCTGGCAGGGGAGCAGTTAGGCATCTATCGGGCTGGTAGGGGAGTATTTAGGTGTGATCAGGCAGGCAGACAGGCGAGCAGTTGGGAGCCAGCAGTACTGGATTGTGAGAGGGATGTCTGACTGGGCCTAAACTGGCAATTGTACATCCCCAAGGGATCCCAGATTGGAGAGGGTGAAGGCTGGGCTGAAGGATACCTCCCCAACCCCCCAGTGCATGATTTTCATGTACCAGGACTCTAGTATTAGATAATAGTACTGTATCAACGTTAAATATCCTGTATTTGGTAATCATAGTTTGGATTTGTAAGAAAAGATTCTTCTTCTCCCAGCATGTGTGTTGGGGATGTATTCTGAAGTATTCAAAGGTATAGATATTATTGTCTGCACCTTACTGTTTTTTAAAAATATATTTTTATTGATTTTAGAGAGGGAGAGAGACAGAGAAACATCAATGATGAGATAGAATCATGGATCAGCTGCCTCCTGCAGGCCCCACACTGGGGATTGAGCCCACAACCCGAGCATTTGCCCTTGACTGGAATCGAATCAGGATCCTAAGTCTGCAGACCGATGCTGGTATCCAGAGTCAAACCAGCTAGTGCTGCAACTTACTTT